CTGTTATCTATATATCTATGGAGGTATATGTCAATGTCTACATAATCTATATATCTATAGACAGATATTCACTCACATGTCAACATATTATCTAGACTATATATTGCCTCTTGGCTGTTTCTCTGGAGAACCCAGACTAATAAAGATCTTAAGAGCAGAAAGTAAAATATTAGGTTTTGTGATGGTATTTAAAATAGAGAGGAAAATGAGATAATACTGAAAGGAAAAGGATACAACTCTGACAGTCATTATAATAAGTATTTTGTCCCATTTACAAACAAAAGTATGACATTAAGAATACATACAATAAATAATTGTATTTCTGTGATTAACAGGATGAGTATTGGGAAATTTCTGTAAGGGGGCCATATAGTCTCCATTACAACTGTCCACTTTACACTTGTGGCTGAAAAGCAACCATCAAAAATGTGAACATGAATGAGCCACCATTTTCTAATAAAGCTGTATTTACAGGCACTGAAATTTAAATTTTATAAAATTTTCATATATTATCATCATTTTCTACTTTTTATTTTCCAGCCCACTTAACAACGTGAAAATCAATCTTGGTTTGGGTGCCACATAGGTCTACAGATTCCAAGGTGTGAGACAAGAATAAAAAAAAGTTCTACTTAAAAAATTTAAAATTAAAAACTTTGTGACCATGCCCTAATAGTCCAACATTTTCTGCTGGGTTATTTGTAGGATATAAATCCATACAGTTTCTACTGCTACTCTTAAAAATAATACTACAGAGGTTGGATTGATCAAACAATTCTAAATTCTGCTCTACCAGACATTTTCCTAATGGACCACTCACCACAGAAAGCAGCATGTTTTCTAGAGGAAACAATACGTTGGATCACTTTCAAAAAAAAATTCTTTCTGTAGATGAAGCTGTCCATCAATAAGGCAGGCAGGAATAAATCTAGACACTAATGCTTTCAAATCAATCCCAGGAGATAGAAATAAATGGATAAAATTAATCACAAAATTAAAACTTCATTAATTATAAGATGATTTTAGTGTGAAGAAGCTAACACTGTTGTTTCCTTTAGTAAGTGTTTGCATGTGATGGGCTTTAAAAAGCGTAGGATAACTGTGCATCTAACATGTTTGACCAACTTTTAGAATTTCAAATATTTAGCTTTTCAAAACTTTTCCTTTAGTAATATAATACAAGTTATTTCTATAGTAGATAAAAGACTACTACCAAAAATCCTGTCTATCCAAAGGCAAATCATACTTATATCTTTGCCAGACTGAACAAACTTTTAAAATAACAAAATGGAGAAGGGTGAGAAGATTGTGTACATATGGAAGATTATTAACATTTAAAAACTCAATATGCTATCTGAGCTGCTATCATTATGTTAAACATATTGTATATCTAATAGAATGCGGTGTTTTAAAATCAAATTATTCACTTGAGAAAGTATTTAATAGTACCAGAACACTAAAAACAGGTTAGCTCAGTCATTTAAAAGTGCCAAGCGTAGACCAACTTTGTTCCAAAGACAGTGGAGAGTCAAGTAGCCAAGCCTGACAAACCACACATGCTACATTCTGAGAGCAGAATTCCAACAGATGTCACCTCAAAGTCAGGAATTTCATAATACTCCTCTAGTCCATGTAAATCAGCTAAAGAAATCTAGAGATACTCATTCCTCATCAGAAATGCAAGATATCTGATTTGGGAAACATTCCAGTTGATCAACAAGCATTTAACCGTGTTTCCCAAACACATGTCAAGGGATTGAAAGTGAAATGGACTTGTGTTCTGCTCCTCCTTCCCAGACCTAACAACTTTCTCCATTGCTGAAGGATGCACTACAGCAGATGGTTCAGCTTTTCACTGAAGTCTCTTTAATGGGAAAGACCTATCCTACCCTATGGATATTCTTTCAGTACCCTATAGAATACCATAGCCTTTCCTTCTGAGTTGGCAGTCAGAGTTCTGGTCTACTCTGACGCAGAATTGTTGTATACCACATCCTAAAACTACTTGTGACAGGCCGGTATGTGGCTGGCGGACAGGTGCATAATCAGCTCACTGGCAATGATGATGGCTAAGGACTGTCTAACCAAAAATAAATGACAGAAGACGACCAAAATCAAACCAACACGCTGCACCTGCTGTTAAAGTGACATTAAGTAAATATTTCAGTGGATTGTAAGACTTCAGAAATGAGCCAGGAATGCAGAAATGACTGGAAATGAATAGAATGAAAACTCAATGGGGCCAAACTGAAGTGCAATATCTCTCAAGATACACCTCAGTTGCACTTTAAAACTGTCACCAATATAAACCAATGGCAAGGACATCTTATATAAACTTTTTTAGACATTTCACATGGTAAGATTTCTGAATAAAGCTGTTATAATTCTTTTATTTCATATCCTATGTCTCATAAGAAGGGCTCCTGAGTTCCACGACACCTAAAACCATATGTTATTGGCTTTAAGAGGTGCACTGCTTTCCTAACACGTCTAAACTCGGGGTAAGGCTTATAACCACATTTTTTTTTCTTAGTATGTAAAATGGTGTATACCTTACAAACTATGAGAACAGATTCAATGAAAGACCATATCAAGTTCTACAAATCCCTAACTACAGTATTACCCACATCATGGGTCAGAATTATGATTGTGCTTTTTCAAATGCAAATTCCTGACCCAACTGAAGACCTGGAGAATCGGAATCCCTAGGACTGAGGATTAAAACTCTGGAACGTATAACAAGCTCCCCAGGTGACTCTCATTCAAGCTCAGATCTGAGAATTTCAGATCTGCAGTACACCAATGCAAACACACAGAAAAGACTGGGAGCTGGGAGTGAGGCAGACCTAGGTCAAAAATGACAAGAATTTTCATTTTTTTTCTGAACAAGGAATGGAAATTAGCAAGTCTTCAGGCCAGGTCTCCTGTGGAGGTGAAGAGGGGGAGAGGGCAATGAATAAATCTGGAGAAAATGTGGTGAGAACTGGGAAACAATTCCTCTTTCCAATGGTTGAAACAGGCTACTTAATTTTAAATTACTCAAAAAACATTTTGTAGTTCTTCTACCAAAGCAGAATTTTGGTTAAAAAGCTATAATAATAAAAAAAAGCTATAATCCAGTTTAAGAAATGTAATTAAACTTCTGGAACTCAGAGAACATTCCAAAATGAGAAAACAAGACAGAATCCTACAAAATGAGTTTTGCTTGCTCTTTCAAGAATTCTACAGCTGTTTAGGGTATAACCTAAACTACCTAATCCTATACTACTCAATCTAGGGGGAGATGGAAGGACAAACAGATGTCAAAGAATGATGAAAATATCTACACACATTTTACCTATAAAGATTATTATAAATAGGGTAATGAGGTATCCACCTCAAGCTGCTAAAAGCAGGAAAGATCAGAGAAAGGCAAAAATTTTCACCGAGTCTAACTGCTATCTTCATCTCCAATAACTACGTTACTTTATACCAAATGAGAAGTTACAGCTTCCTATTCTGTGTTTAAGAATTCACTCCACTCTCCTGACTTTAAGTGGTCTGTGGAACTGAAATACACCAAAGTAGACACAATTCTATCAATCCACCTTCACTCAAAGAAATGGATAACAGAGCGGTTCCATCTGCGTGAGGAGCCTGACTAAAAAAGTAGTAACACATTATTTCTATCACTACCAAAAAAAAAAAAAAAAAAAAAAGAAAAGCAGCCATTTGCAAAGAATATGAAAAAAGCTTCAATCATAAAATTTTCCAAAAATATATCAAGTGAGACAATTAAAATTTCACTTGTTGACCAATGTCCTTCAAAACTCATTCAATGATCACTAACTGCAAGTAATGAGTGGCATCATTAGGCAGAACACCTGATACCACAATAAACCTTAACAAACTTTTTAAATAAAAGGTTATTATGAAAATAGGAAATGACTCACTGCTTAGAGATATCCATATAACTTTCTCTCTAGCACACACACAAAAATCACCAAGATCCATTAGGCATGAATGAATAAACAAAATATGATATTGTAACCATCTGTGTGATTTTGGTCTATGTAACAGGAGCACCTATGCTGGTTTCTGAGTCAACCATTAGTCTAGAGAACCCTTTATTGCTTGCTGAATGGCATTCGGCAATTTTCTAATTTTTAGTAAGTTAAATGGAGATCTCTCTGTACTCGGTTAGGCACTGTATTATGAATAACAGTAATGCTTTCAAAATCTTGGAAAATCTAACAGAATAGCACTAGTCCTCCGAGGTGTTCACAGGTCCAGGAGGACTGGGGGATGTGTTTCCGGCATCAACCTTTACTTAACTTCTCTAGGTACTCGTATTCTCATCTGTAAAATCAAGAAATCATATAAAAGCACTTATTCACTGAGTTGAGAGAAGTAAATAAATGTACAGGTGAAAGCACTTGGCAAACAGTGTCTGGCATATAATGAGCAATTTAACATTGTTTAGTTTCATTGTATCCATACATATCTGATTAAGAAGAAACAAAGGTTGTTTTCAATTAGATAGCAGAGGGCGATGGAGATAGAAATCTCAAACCGGCAATTAGAAGTCATTAAATCGTCACAGTACAGAGCCGTGGGCACAGCAGCAAAACAAATAATGAATACCACGTTCACCAATGACGTCCGGAGACCAATGGGCTAGAGACAGTCTGTAAAAATGAAAAAGTACCTCCAGCTTAGGTGACACCGAAACTTTGCAAGTCAAGACGGCCCTCCACAGAGCGCACACCCAACACCAGGTCCACCCGCCGGTTTCTCATTCCCGCCCCCGAGCCGCGGGCGCCGAGCTCAGGCGCCGCCCGCCCTCGCAGACTGGCCGGGCCGGGGATGCTCGGCGAGGGACGGCTGGACCGGGCAGGCGGCGCAGGTTCCGGTGCCGCCACGGAGGCGCCCGGCCGGAGACCCGGGAACCGGGCGGCCGACTCCCTGCCCTGCCGTCCCTCCGCGCCTCGCCGCCCTGCGGCTGCCTCCCAGAGTCTCACCGGCCGAGCTTAACGGATGCGCCCCGCCTTCGGGCTCCCGCTGGTCTGTCCTGCAGTTCACCGCCTCCAGCCAGCGCCTCCGCTTCCCCTCACCCTCGCGGGGGCCAGGAGGAAGCCAGCTAGCCTCCCAGTCTATTCCCGCCCACGCCTCCCTGCCGCCACCGGGAAGCCGCGCCCGCCCCCTGGCGGTGGAGGACCAAACGAGACGCGCCCGCGCAGGCCGACTGCGGGAAGGCCAGAGAGCCCGCCGCCCAGCCTTGCTCAATTGGGACCTGCCACGTGGGAGCTGCCGCGGCGCCGGCCCAGCCGCCTGCAGCTGGGTAGCACGCCCTGGGGGAAGGAAAATGATCACGGCCTTCTCCCTCCCACGCACGCACACAATCCCAGTCTCAAGGGCAGAAATTTTAAAATGATCGGCCTCATCCTAGAGATCCATCAGTAGGAGGGTGGTGCTATCGACCTAGGCCAGGAGATTAGGTCATTGTCCTTTGACTGCTTGAACATTGGGTAGCAGATGGTGGAAATCCTTCAGGTCTGGTGTTATAGTCTGGTAACCCTTAATGTATTACCTAAGGAGAAAAATAGTGCTTGCATTTTGCATGTCATTTTTGTCTGTTTAAAATCTTAGCAACTTAACGAATGTTTTTCCCCCTCTTTTAGGACATTTTTTCATGATTGTGTTGATAACTAGGAAATTAATTCATATTTTACAGTACAGAAACTGAGAACGCAAAATTATTTCATAAACAAGATTCATGTTCTAGGATAAATCTTAACTGTTATTAACTAGTCTTAGAATATTGGGACAATCCATGGTCCCAATGAAATCACATTAAATAAATAATATAGTTTGACAATAGTGGTTATTCTACCAAATCTCTTCTTTCCTTTAGAAATATAAAATATTCAACCTAAACAATAGCTATGAATTCTAGAATACTTGATCCAGGGCTCTGGGAGGAAACCAGTGTATATATTCTGAGTGGCTTCTATGTCCCAAATACTTTGGTAGGCCTTGATGTATGCATTTTTCACTTGACAACTCAGTCAAAGTAGATATTATTTGTGTATTTCTTTAACAGATCAAAAAAACTAAAACTCCAAAACTGAGCTTAAATAACCTGCTCCAAAATACAAGGTAGTAAGTTAGGAAGTTGGAATTCCAGCCTATCTCCAAAGAAACAGTAAAGCTCTTTATTATGTTACCAAAACACACAGCATTTATAGTATACAGGCCTCCCTTCAACCCTAGGTCCTATTGAAAGAATTTATAAAGACCCATAAGTAAGGCAGTCAGGGCCTATTTGTGACAGAGCTTTTAGCTGTATAACCCAACTGACCTGTGTAAAAATCCCATTTATTGTAGTCTGATACCATTATTACTAAAGCAATTCCTAATGTGTACTTTGTGTGATCTCCTGCTCTCCACTGACCAGAAACTATAGTTTAGAAACCTTCAGTACATAATGAATTAATAACAGTGAGTGGAGTAGAAACTCCCTACTGTTAACTTGTCAGGAAGTAAGAGAAACAGAGAAGTCATCTGGATTAATGTTTAAGTTTCATAATACAGAAGACTTTACAGCTCCAGGAGGCATAACTAAACAGCTGTCGCTATGTTACATAATAATAGGTTACATACAATTTTTATTTTTAAAGCACATGCATTTTTATGTATTTATTGTGTTAGGGATTTTTCTAAGAATTTTATATGTATGCACTCATTTAATTATCAAAATAATCCTATAGATACACAAAAAAATAAATGAAGTACTTCAAGGGAATATTGTGCAAGGTCCTATTGCTGGGACCTCACAGAGCCAAGATCGAAACTCCAATGCTTAACTTCAAGCCCATTTCTTTTGTTTGTAAAGAATATTCATTCTCTCTTCATTGGGTGCAGGGTATTTTATGATTCTACAGTCTATACTATTTATCATATAAAGATTGGTAATACAAAATTTATAAAAAGCCTCAGAATTTTAATTGGCCCCATTATCATTTTAATTCTGTATATAGAGTAGGCAATTGTATAAAATATGGCAACCAATAATTCCTCTCATTCCTGTAAGTTTATTCCACTTTTACCCTCAAGAGGTCTTGCTTAATACCCTCCTCTTAAAATCACCCAGGCCCTAGGGCTTTTTCCTAGCAGTAGGCTGCTGTGGACATACTACTAGGTGGTTTCTGAGTTTAGATCTTGGAGTTTTGTAGCTTCCATTTTCAGTCTCGAGACCCAGTCATCATATAAAGAAACTCAGACAAGACTACTGAACAATGAGAAACTACGTGCAGAAATGGGGGCAGAGGTTGCTAGCTATCCCCAAACCATTCCAACTGTCCCAGCTGAGACATTAGACATGTAGTGAAGCCATCTTAATTGTAGCCTACAGTGGTTTAAGTTTTAGTTCCCTAAAGGCCAAGGTCACAGTGCCAGCCTGTGATGGTGTTGGGAGCTGGCAAAACCTTCAGGAGACGTGACATAGTAGGAAGAAATTAGTTCACCAGTGGCATGCCTTGAAAGGAATACTGATTTAGAATCTGGCCACTTCCTTTCTCTCTTGCTTCCAGGTTACCATGAGGTAAGAGCTTCCTCCACCATGTGCTCTGATCATGAGGTGTTACCTTGTCATAGGCCTAAATGATAGGCCAAGCAACCATGGACTAAACCCCTGAAATGGTGAGCTAAAGTAACACTTTCCTCCTTATAAGTTGATTGTCTTATGTAGTACATAATCATTTCATACACTGTGTGTTGTCACCAGAAAGCTGAGTAATACAGTCTCAGCTAAGCTACTAGCTGAATTCATAGCAAAAGTGACATCAAACAGTACCAGCAGAACTGCCCACTGAGACCAGCTGACTTGCAGAATATTGAGAAATAGCATGGATATTTTTTAATTTGCAAAATAATGTGATAGTTTGTCATATTTGTCATATAGCAAGAAATGACTGAATCGTGCTAAAACGGGTTTGGGGGTAGGTTGGGGAGCTGACCAGCTCTGGGAGGACTACTTGAAATGTTAAAACATGTTTACATTGGATTATAAATTCCAGCTCATGGAGAGAGCCAGGATCTCATCTAGCTTTTAAAACATAGCAGGAAGCGGGGAAAACAGAATAACAAACACAAGAGTAAAAGTGACAAATTTCATGTTCATATTGGGTAAAATACAGAATTTAAGTGTGGATTAAAACCTGTTCAGAATTTTCATAAGAACGTGCATTCAGATGTCTTGACTTCTTTCTTACCTATAAGAGTAAAATAATACAGTTAAAGAAGCTGCCATACAGAAATCACAGCACTGTATTTGATACATTTGCAATAAAGTCTACAAGATTACTTTACTATGAGACATCTGTAAAATGCAATGCAAGCCAGACAGGCTTGTCTGTAATCCCTGGCTACTTCAAGGCTGGACCAGGAAGATTACAAAACCTCATTTCAAAATAATTTTTTAAATGGACTGGGGAGGTACTCAGCAGTAGAGCATTTGCCTAGTTTCTATAAAGGCCCTGGGTTTAATCTCTAGTAACACACACACAAAAATACAATGCAATCAAATATTATAACAAATGTGTCTTTGTGTAAAATGCACTCTAAATTTTTAATCTCTTAATGACTTTTCTAGAAACATACTGTACAAGAAAATTGTAGATATAAAAATTTAGATTTTTAAATGCTATCCTTTTGATTTTGCTTCTAGGGGGTTCTGGTTTGAAGTAAATATTTCTATAGATCTTTCAAAATGGGAAAATCTGGCATTTTTGTCTAAATTATAAATCATATTAGATGATATACTGTATATGTAACACACAATTCAGAAATGTATTGAAATAGTGACTACAAAGTAATGTCCTTGTCCTTAAAATTATCTACAAATGTGTATTATAAATAATTATTCAAATTAGTGGTTTTTCCAGAAGAACATAATTTGTCTTATAAAATATTTCTTTTTTGGAGGGGGGCTACTGGGGATTGAACTCAGGACCTTGCACTTGCAAGGCAGGCACAGTGCCACTGAGCTAAATCCCTGGCCCCAGAATATTTCTTCTAGAAAAATTGCAGAATCAGTATCATAATCTAAAAATTCTTTTTTTTTTTTTTGGTACTGGGGATCGAGCTCAGAACCTTGCACTTGCGAGGCAGGTGGCGGAATCACTAAGCTAAATCCCCGACTCTAAAAATTCTTTTAAAAAAGTTTATATGACAGTGTTAACTATTTGGAGCTTTTTTGTTTGTTGTTGTTGTTGTTGTTGTTGTTGCGCTTGTTTTGAGACAGGGTCTCACTATGTAGTTCAGGGTGACCTTGAACTCACTATGTAGCCCAGGCTGGCCTTGAACTCACAGCAATCCTCCTGCCTCAGCCTCCAGAGTGCTGCGATTACAGGTGGGTGCCACCACACCTGGCCTTATGTTAACTATTTGTAATGCTGGACAATGGTGCAGAAACCATGGATCAGCCAAAACATACACACACACACACACACACACACACACACACACACATCTTGCATAAACATAATAAATATATAATCTATAGTTATTTTAAATTTTATATTTGTCAGATATTGGGAGGGAAATTTTAAGTTTTCACCCACACAGTGCAAATTAGAAAATGTTATCATACTCTAATATTTCTATAATTCTAAGTAAATATAATAGTTAAGTCTCAAGTGATCTAAAGACACTTCTGTCTACACTCAAGAAAAAATATATTGGCCAGAAAACTCTCATATAGAACTAAACAAATTTTGTGTTCTCCTAAAACATAATTACTCAGATCTTTAATTTCAGTTCTTGATTAAGGAATGAATATGAGAATCCTTTAGTCTAAGCACAAAAGAACTCACCCAGACTGTAGTGTTTTCATTAAACATGAAAATATCTAGTTATGTTAAATTGGAATGCATTGTTTACTTTGAAAGGCAAAACAATAGGAATATGGGTATTAAAACATCATCATCTGTTAAGATCTATTATCTAGTGTGTGTCATTATTTTAGACAACTAAGTTAGGTAGACATATTATAAGCAGTCAGATTGGACTGAGTCCTCGAACAAGTTAGTGCACAACTGTGGCCCAAGGCACATACATCTGTTGGAGCTCAGGCCTCAAGATAAAGATGGAATAACCAGGCC